AAAAACAACAACAACAACGTTTTTTTTTTAAACTCAAATTTTGTAACGAATTTCAATATGACCCTGAGGCAAAAGTGTTTCAGTTTATTTTTCTGCATAACATATTTTGTTTTCATATTTTTTTGATTTATTTTTTTTTGCTTTTTTTTCGTACGTACGGCCCGAACGACCAATGAGCCCGTATGTACGGTTGTACGTATGTACGTACGGCCCATATTCATACGGGGGTCTACTCAGGACTTTGGAAAGCCAAAAACTATTTTTGTTTTCATATTCGGACTGATATAAATTCTGAAAAGACACTTTTCCTACGGGAAGCGCTGCCGAAATTTTCTTAGTTTAAAGGACCTAGGTTATATTTTGACAGGTGGCGATTCTGACAATCCACCCTGTATGGGGGAGATTCTGTCAGGGTCTACCTTGCTTTAGGCACTGCTTAAAGGTAGATTTAGGCTTAGTCAGTCAGGTAGATTTTTGGTGAGATTGTGGTTATTCTCCAAGAACTTATAGGTTTAGTGGGGGATTGGCCTGTCATGTGTTACAAGTCTTCTTGACCGTTTGATTCGGGACTTTGGACTAGTTTCAGCTCGATCTTATAAAGGATCATCTTCTGTTATCACTGATAACAGGTCGGTTGCCGATTCGTCGGATTACGACTCAATTCCAACTCACCCTCAATACTCGACCTAAAAGGCTTTAGCCTTGGTGATTTTATTGTTTCGTTAAGGTTTCACCCAGACTTTTATTGAATGGTCATTTAACAAAGGTGCTGAGTATTTAATTATGGTTGGTTGGTCGGAGGTTGGGGCTTGCATGGCTAAAGCGAGGGGTACCAGTATAGAAATCGGTTGGGGTTGACTCCGTGTAATGCATGAACTTTTGTTGGACTCTTTGATGTGATTGCAGGTATGTTCCGTGGTTCAGATTTTGGATTTGACTGCCTGCGATCACAAATATACATATGGTTGTAAGGAGCCCCACTAAGACTGTGAGAGGAGATCGTCACATACTTATCCCCCTATACATATGTATGTGCGCGTACTTATGTTGGACATGAGGGGCCTTGTACTAAATGCGTACTTAGGGGTTAAGATTAAGAAAAATAAGGAAGACCCTTCCTTTGGGTCCGTTTGCTTCTTGAGGGTTTTTAGTCGGACGTTGGTGCCGGGATTCAAGGTCCTTGTGCGGGACATCCCAAGCCCTAGACTCTGCAGAGAAGGAATCTTCCCCCGTGCAGAGTCTATTTGCCTTGCCTACCGAGATGCTCCGAGCAAAGGCCGTATTTCTTGCGGCGATGGCACAACTATTCCTTCAACTGTGCAATATCGTGAGGGATTAGACCCTCATGACACTTCGAGTCCGACACTTGAGTGTCATAAGCGGTACTCGGATCCATGAGAGACCGCTTGATTATGGGCACTACATAGTACGCCATCATTGCGACTACTTGCGTACGCTTGCATTGCGAGTCGATATAAGTTAGCCCTGTGTCCGCAAGGTTTTATATTAAGTCTCGCGCGCAAAGCCCATCCGACTCCGTATCGGAAGGTTATGGGATGGTTACGAAGGGACTAGGAGCGTTGTCGTGTTGTTTGTGTTGTGCCGTTTCGTGCGTGTCGTCGTGTGTGTGTTTTATTTTTGTGCTCGCAGAGTGTTGTGTGCGTGGTGAGTGGGATACGTCCTAGTCGACCGACGACGGGCCGCACTTGGGATTTCAGCCTCCCCAGTGCGTCGGTTCGCGTGCGTGTCTAATAGAGGCGTATTACCGTGCGTACCCCCTATGCTACAGCGAACGAGAAACGCCCTCGGCTGGTCCACCTCTGTGTTTGCAACTGATCAGCTTTCGTACTGTGGACTGGTAGCTCGGCGGGGATAGGCCCACCGAAGGGAGGTGACAACTCCCATAAAGTGGAGGTAAGTCGTGCCTCGCATAGGCCCTATCCTGTCGTAGGGGCTCGTGGGAGGTATGGCTGGTGAACCCAGCCAGAGCGGCCTGCGAAAGCTCCATATATGTTTGAGACGAAGGATTAGAGTCCAACTCCTGCGTGACGCGGCCAGGAGGGTCCTGCGCTGCCTCGTGCGGTGCCGAACCGATGCGCTCGACACCGTTCACCGCGAACGGTCGTTCACAAAAAAATCATCAAATGAACGGCCGGTCACGTTCACGGGTCCGGCACTGGTATCAGCAGATAACACAAACAACATTCACACGAAGCCAGTGCAACACATAAGAGGTAGAATGGAGGAGAGAAGAAGAGTCACAGAAGTACTAGAGAGGAAAGAAGAAAAGAGAGAAGAGAACAAAAGAGAAAGAGAAAGAGACAAAAGATACGAATGGATATAAATTCTGCCGAACGCAACTCAGTGAAAAAAAAAAAGACATGAAGCACATGACTGGGAGGACCCAACAGTTTCGGTTGCCAGCCTGACAGCACTCTTCAGGGGTCTTTTCTGTCGCGGAGGTACTGCTCATTAACAAGTACCTCGTTTATGTACCGTGCACACCGAAGACACTCATGCCAACAAAAATAGATGGGACACCGAAATAATCATCTGACCGGATCCTAAAAACAACAGCGGAGATCTTAACGAAACGGATTCGAACACATGGTCATGAAACTGTGAAAAAACAAGGTACTAAACTACGTTTGTTCAATAGGTCTTGGGACTGAAACTGTCCAGCCCTACAAAGTAAATCTTCAACACCAGATTTGAACTCAGAATCAGGGGACTAAAAAATCATAGTAAATCTTCAACACCAGATTTGAACTCAGAATCATGGGACTAAGAAATCATAATACCCAAGTCCTCATGACAAGAACGTTTCAGGCCTTCAAACCACGCGTCCCAGAAATATACTGGAGTCAGACCGACATCTCACAAAACTGCATAGCATCCCAGAGAAAATCCACAGTAAAAAAGTGACCTCCGCAATCAAACAAATCAGTACGAAACCAATTCCACGGGAACCAGGGACTACATCATAAAGGTCCCGCAGGCGCGGGCTCGTAGCCCGTAATGTGACCGTGAGGCCTGCAGCAGTGAAAAAGCAGAGGAGTGAGAGACGGTGGCAGCAGTTCCCCATCAGGCAATCTGTGGTATAAAGAGGAGATTAGCTTAGCCCTGGACAAAAGAAAAGGGATAATTGGTAGAAAGAGCCCACGCCAAAACCTATTTGGTTTTGGCCACCCAAAACTCGGTCGTTTGGTACTACCGGACCAATGACTTCCATGTGCGGTACTACAGGCCCACTCGTCCCTCCAAGGGTACTACCGGATCATGAATCTGGCGCATAACAGCGTCAGATTTATTTTGATGTAACGTATGGTATCTAAAAAAAAAAAGGGTCCTACCCGTTCATGAATCTGGCGCAAAAACAGCGTCAAATTCTTAAACCGGTAAAAACAGGTCCAGGGAGATGTGGCCACGGTGCGAAGGCGCCTTTCACCTAGGCTGAAGACGTTTGGGCCGGCAGTACCAAACGGTCGAAATTCGGGCACCCAAAACCGAAAAGGTTTTCGCGTGGACTCTTTCTACCAATTATCCCCAAAAAAAGTCCCATGCTAGTATATAGGCAGCGGACACGAACCCTGTGTGCACCAGTAGCTCGCCCATACATAGGCAGGGGACGTGACCTGAGACGATGTCGTGGCTGTAGCAGGGCGGAGGTGTTACTCCCCCCCCCCCCTCCTGCAACCCCCCTTCCCCTCAAGTGGCCAGTTTTGGTTATATTCATCCGTGTGTTTGGCGGTGATGAATATGGGTGAGGGAAGGTGTTATGAGAGGATGTAGTTGTTGCTCCTCTGGCACCCATCCCCTCGCCTCGACTTCCCGGTTTTTGTTATCCTCAACTTTGTCTTCGATAGTCATGAATGTGGCGGTCAACATGTTATTCGTTAAAACTGGACATTATATTTGTCATGTTTTGAACGAATCCACTTTCGGCTTTAGTTGAATCAATATACCCATGCCCATTATCTCCCCTCAGACATGTTGTTGGATGTTTGTCGGGATCCGGACTTTATTTCGAGGTGCAATTTCAGGCTTGCCCATCCACTCACCCCAGATGTTGAAGTCAGGATCCGGGCAAACATCTAATGCCCTCGTTCTAAGGCGTAATCAACGTAGGCATACCCATCCTCTCCGTCGAGACATTATTTTGGATGTTTAATAAGATGTGGAGTTATTTAAAAGTGTACTCGTAGACAGGCGTACGCACTTTTGTGCTGACATCCATACTTGTTGAACCTGAAGTTTATGACATCCATACTTGCTGAACCCGATTCAGAACTAGATGTTATTGGAGAATTGTGCACACCGTCAGCACACGTCCCCAGTATCATACACTTCAAGTTTATTTCATTCAATTCGCGTATTGTGCAAACGGTCTATCTTGCATGCGAAACTCGGATAGCAGGGAAGTGTGTCGACATCCATACTTGTTGAACATAGAGTTTATGACGGCAGGGAATTGTGCTTACATCCACACTCAATGGGTGGCGTGTGGCAATCGGCCTCCAGTTTATGCCTGATTGGCCACGACAAGCGAGAACCTGCCACCAGGCACCACTGTCGTGCAGGCCACGCCGTGGTTAAACCCCCACATCCAGGTGTTTTCAGTCTCGTCGAGTCCTTATTTTATTAGATTGTCGGAATATCGCAGTCCCTGGTGGCAATGCCCGAGCAGGACAGAAGATGACTCTCACGTCTCTAGCCAGTGGAATTGACCCTTCCAACCCTGGCACCCATAAGAGCAGCGTAGTGCTGTCAAGGGCGTCACATAGTTTGCCTACCCTGGATGAGGTCGGGCAGATTAAGCCTCCTGGACTTAACGTCGGGCAGTGCTCTTATGGGTGCTACATAGCACGCAGCGTCATGCCCACCATCATGCGTGCGAGGAACCCGGACGTCATTGAGGGATGGCAAAAAACGCGAGAACACAAACGCCTTCATTTAGGAAATTTGCATACTGACATCACAAGACAGAGGCAGCATGTCCATGTAGCAATCGACCCACCATTATGCCTAGTGTGTATCATTAAAGGATGACAAGACACGCGAGAACACAAACGCCCTCATTCAACGAATTTGCACACCGACATGACAAAACAGGGGCATCAAGTCCATTTCAAGGTTGACTTTCTAGACAACAAGACGCACTGAAAGAGAATCGCACAAGGCATCGGCATCTATACTTCGGATGCCGGCGGACTACCGCCTCCTTGCTCCCCCGAGAACACAAAACCAAAGCTCCAGGATGGCGTTGAACACAACATGCCGCAAAAGGGGATCGACGAGACATTCTGAAATTTGGAGCGTGGAAGGTAGAAAAGGTTGATTTCACAGCAGCGGAATGATGCAAACCAAACTTAGAGTCCACAACAAGAAGATCACTGCTTTTCAAAACAATATTTGAAAGAACGAACGAAATGTCATGTCATGCACAAGATGTCTCATCCAAAAACAACAACGTCTGTCATGTATTCGAAAATCACAAGACGTTACCAGCTAAGACAACAACCTTCCAGAACACAGCGTGCCAGTTGTCATCTAATACGCGGGATTTCACGAGGAGTGAACGGAAAAGGCGGCCTATCACCACGTTGGAGCAGCGTGGCAAACATCAACATGAACACCCCGCAACTCGCRCCGTCTGCTTRTCTAGGAACTCCTTCCACGACAACATTCGCGGMCATCGACCTCCAACTCCCTTTGGATCTACCCAGTGGCGCCCGGACTTCCAAGTACTTCACAATTAAATCAAAAACGCCGTGGTAGAAATCCTTTCCGGCGTTCACACGTGCAAATGAGTCGAAAATCTCCAGGACACCGTCCCTCAAGCTCACAGACAGAAGGACCCAGTGGTCATTGTCTTTGTACACTGGCACGAAGACAATATCGTGTTGTAGGAGATCGATGTCCGGTGCCCACCTTCTCACCCCGATGTTCCCTTGCCGTTTCAACTTGTTGAAGAAAAATGTGTTGAAACTGAAGACACGAAGCCCGGTGGACAGCTGAGGGCGCCGACACGCTGTGGACCCCAGGAGAGCCATGTAGAAGTTGACGACCTTGTCATTAAGCTTGCCATCAATATCCCAAAGGGCGCGGAGATCGCTCGCTGCAACTCTCAGTTGTCCGTCTGCAAGTGTAGCCAAGACAGCCTCAAGCGGCACGGTCCCGTGCAGAAGGTCGTGCAGAACCTGCGAGCTTGGACGCGCAGCCACGGTGACGAATTCTCCCCACCGTGTCAGAGGCCCTTCGATTCTCATTGCACAACACCGAGCAATGCACATGAGGGGCGGTGGGAAACCTTGGACTACGAGCTGTTTTCTGCAGCAGGCCGCGTTGCCAAAAACTTCTCATACATATTCTGCCCCCTACTCACAGATCTCGGGTACGACCCCTTGTCAGGAGGAAGCAAAGAAAGACACTCGTCAATGGCCTCGTCATGTGCCTTCCTGCCGATCTCAACATCAATCCCCGATGCCTTCRACATATCTTTATTTCTTGACGAAAGTCGAGGGGATTTCCGCAACAWSWRTSCMYRAKRYCTCGAGTTYCTTCTTTTGCCAGACGCCCCCATCCCTGTAAAACAGAAGAGAAAGAAAAAAAAAACTGAATACATGTCCCTACCACCGAATTGCCACCGTCACAAAAAACACACCAGAAAAGCAACCGGACGCGGAATCGGAGGAAAGGGCTCCGGCCGACCGGGTTGCAGGTACGCGATTATGAATGTCAGGCATGCAGGTCGACCGTACTCATGGACTCGAAGTGTATGAGGCAGAAGAAGCAAGCAGATCAAAGGTTGTTGGCATGAGTTTGCGATGATGTCCATTCCACACGTCAGCGAAGAGAGGCAGAGGACACGTAGACGTCGGGGCCATCCTGGCACACGACAGGAATTGGACGACAAAAAAAACAATGCGAAGGACAACGAGGAGGCTGCAGCCACTGCGGAGGCAATCACCCAAGGGTTGGAGACAGCAACGCGGGAAGGGGAGAAGCACACAACAGGATAGGCGACGAAGTGCGGATCCCGACGGACTTCCAGAGATCGCACAAGGATACCTAAGTCCGACCGCCGCGCTAGTGGACGAGTGGAAAACGCAATATAAAAGTCTCCAACCCACACGGTTTGACCAGCCGTTCCATCCCTATTCCTTAACCCCAGCCCGGTCTCGCGAAGAGTGCAGAAACAACATCAAATGCCCGACAGCATCCGCAAATCAGGGACGACAGTGGCATCAGTTTCGTCAAATGTGAGAAGACGACGGAAACCTGAATGTTGCATCCGTGAGCAGAACAACGCGACAAGAAGTGAACGGATCAGCGCTTACCAGCCTGCTTAACGTCTCCGGATAACGGCGCTGACTGCCTTGCAGGACTTCTGAGCACTTGCGCAGCCGCAGGGTCGTCCCCACACTTGACCTCGCGGTCGAAGTGTCAGACGCCCCCGAAATCGTTCTTTCTGCCGCCGATGAGTTTGTCGGACGCTAGAGGCCCTGGACCCGACAGCTCCATGGAACCAATCGTCGATTGACTGGAACCTGCATCGCCCTCGCCGCTCTCCAATGCAGGCGGAGGAGGGGACCTATTCTGCGGACTGAGGATGCCATGCACGACCTCGTCAACGAGCAGTCGACCTGCAGGTTTCACAGGACTCAGCGGCAGTTTAATATCATGGCTCTCGACTGCGGTTTCGACAACACCCTGCAAAGGGGAAACATTGTAATCTTCGCCCTCCTTGGAAAGTTGGATAGCGAGCTCCGTCTCGATGGCCATTGCAGGCGTCCCGCACTCTGCATCCTCGTCGTTGCGCCCACCGTACAACCGGACGAACTCGTCGGCCGACTCTCCGGAGCCTGTGTATGTGAAATCGTCGTTGTCGCCACAACTTTCCACCCGGTCCTTCGTGCCCTCCACCTCACTGCTCAAATTGCCTTCCGCACCGCTTCCGTCATCAAGCCTTTTAGTAACCCCCATCTACTTGTCGTTTCTACCATCCCCCCCCCCGACCCTGTCCGACCCCTTGTCTGATTTCTCAACACACGACAAACCCGTCTCACATGCCTTGTCCAAGTCCCTTTGCCCCGGCCCCTCGACGACGGACTCCGCTGCCGGCGCAGCATTGGCTTCCCGAGCGGAGCCGCTCGTCGAAGTCCGGATGCCAGCGGACTTCAAAGATGTGAGGGCTTCCGCGCCCCGCCTTCCAGCCTCCGACACGGTCTGCGATCCGTCCTCTGTCGCTAATTGCTTTTCTGTTGCACTGTGGATCCCGTCAAACTTGCTGTCCTCCACAACATCGACCCCCGAGCGACAAGGCCGTGGCTGCGTCGCGCCATATCGTAAAGCTGGGTTGTCGGAGATAGGGAGGCTGGTTCTTCCGAGACTGTAGTTTGGATCCCGGCGAACTTCTCGGTGGCCTTGTCCCCTCCGCCCGCGGGTTCTGCAGCGCACGTCCCCTGTTCCCCTGGTTTGACACCTCCCGCATCGAAGACGACAATGCCGGTCGGGCGATGCACCTCTTGCGTCGTGTCCTTCCCAGTGGCCTCGTCCCCTCCGCCCGTCCCTCCGTCCCTGCCTCCATGCCCCCTTCCCCCGTCCGCCCTCCCGTCCTCNGCACGACCTCGTCAACGAGCAGCCGACCTGCAGGTTTCGCAGGACTCAGCGGCAGTTCAATGTCATGGCTCTCGACTGCGGTTTCTACAACACCCCGCAAAGGGGAAAGGTTGTAATCTTCGCCCTCCTCGGAAAGTTGGATAGCGAGCTCCGTCTMGATGGCCATTGCAGGTGTCCCGCACTCAGCATCCTCGTCGTTGCGCCCACCGTACAACCGGACGAACTCGCCGGCCGACTCTCCGGAGCCTGCGTCTGTGAAATCATTGTCGTCGCCACAACTTTCCACCCGGTCCTCCGTGCCCTCCACCTCACTGCTCAAATTGCCTTCTGCACCGCTTCCGTCATCAAGCCTTTTAGTGACCCCCATCTGCTTGTCGTCTCTACCATCCCCCCCCCCGACCCTCTCCGACCCCTTTTTTGCTTTCTCAACACACGACAAACCCGTCTCACATGCCTTGTCCAAGTTACTCTGCGTCGGCCCCTCGACGACGGACTCCCCTGCCGGCGCAGCATTGGCTTCCCCAGTAGAGCCGCTCGTCGAAGTCCGGATGCCAGTGGACTTCAAAGATGTGAGGGCTTCAGCGCCCCGCCTTCCAGCCTCGGACATGGTCTGCGATCCGTCCTCTGTCGCTGATCGCTTTTCGACTGCAATGTGTATCCCGTCCAACTTGCTATTCTCCACAACATCGACCCCCGGGCCAGAACGGTCGTGGCCGCGTCGCGCCATATCGTAAAGTTGGGCTGTCGGAGATAGGGAGGCTGTTTTTTCCGAGACTGTAGTCCGGATCCTGGCAAACTTCCCGGTGGCCTTGTCCCCTCTTCCCGCGGGTTCTGCAGAGCACGTCCCCTGTTCTGCGGGTTCGACATCTCCCGCATTGAAGACGACACTGCCGGTCAGGCGATGCACCTCTTGAGTCGTGTCCTTCCCAGTGGCCTCGTCCCCTCCGCCCATCCCTCCATGCCCCCTTCCCCCGTCCGCCCCCCCGTCCCCGTCTCCTCCCCCCCCCCCCCCACCAGACCCCCCTCCTCCCCTCGGGACACCCGCGGGGGGGGACACCTTCCAATTGACCTTCCCCTTCGAAGGGCTGGTGTCGAGGTCGTAGAAAGCGTCTTCCATTTCCAACCACCTTTTGGCGCGCAGTTCTTGAAACAGTCTGTCCGTGGTGGAGGCGATGGACAGGTTGTCCCCGGCGACCCCGGGATTTTCTCCCCTAACCTTCTCTGCCACCATTTCCCTAGCCAACTCCAGAAATTCGGACACAGACAGGCGCGCGTATGACGCCCATTGCCCATCGTCATTGATCATGGCCATGACCCACTCGCCCTTCAAAACCGCGGGCTGTATGGTCCCTGGATGCCAAATCATGTCATGGCCCCAATCCGCCTCACTGGACCTGGTATGGTCGTGATAGACGGTTAACGGGGGCCCAAATATTCGCCGTTTTCGTTGGCAATTGCGCCGCGAATTTCATCAAACTTCTTAAAAACAAACGATATGAGACCATAGTGCAAACATCAAAAAAGGAAACAGGCCAAAAAAAACAAAAAAAAAAAACAAAAAAACACTATGAAACCCTAACACAAAGACACTGTCCGAGTCAAAATGAAGCGTCAAACGAATCCAACAAAATGCCAACTTTTTCATTATTGATCAAAACATGTCAAAACTGCACAAATGACGTACCCTAAAACACATATATATCACACAAAAAGAAAAACGAGAAAAAAAGCAAAAAATCAGCACAATATGACAGTTTCAGTGCAATTCGGTGCAACATTCGTCGAAAATAACACCCCTGGTTAACCACGTGTGGTGGTCGTGGCTCTCGAAGTGGATGCTCTCGTCGCGTTGAGACGGGTGATCGAGAGGAACAAAACTCCCAGGACGCAACGGGGCAGCGGCAGCTCCAACGGTGCGCAGTATTGACGACAACTTCTTCGGTGTCTTTCCCGGGGTTGTCGTTAACGTCTGTGTCGTTTGCGGGGGCTGGCTGGTCGACGGGCCGGCTGCTGAAGAACCGGCGGTGGTCGGGGCAGGCGAGGGAGCGTAACCGATGTCGAGACTCTCCGTGTCGCTGCCCTCCTCTGTCATGCTAGCGTCAAATACAATCCCCGTTTCATCCTCATCCTCGGTGGATACCATCGACGCGTAGTCGTGGTACCTCAAGATCTGAATAGACTCTTCGAAGTACAGACCCGCCAACCTGTCGAGAAAGTTCTTCGCATTTCTCCGATCCGCGCCATCGTAGTTGTCAAGCAACGACAACATGTGGTCCCTGTGTCGCATGTGCTTCTGGTCGGCATTACTCTTTGGCCAGGTTTCCAGGAAGAGGAAGCGAAAAATCTTGTTTTTTTTTCTCTCGCTCAATTTGAACCACATGTCCGTCGACGGATCCCAGACGCGCACTGCTTTCTTGGTCCGCACGGCGAACTCACATCAGCTGGCTCCGGAGTTGACCTCGCTTTTGACGTAGTTTCCTTCAAACGTGACGACATGACGCCCGCTTTGCAACACCTCCCACACGACTTGCGCATGCGGTTTCCCAATGAACGTGACACCTTCCCCTTTTTTGCAGAGGAATGCCAACAGATTCACCAATTGCCCGGGGTTCCGCTCCATCTCTTTGTACACCTTCCCTTCGTGTCCCGTGGTCGACAATGGCCACTTGCAAGCATGGAAAGGCATCTCAGATATGTCCGTGGGAGTGACTTTCTGATGGACCCCCACCACCGCAGCGTCTCCCGCCGACAACCTCGAGCCGTAAACGACCGCAGTGTTCTCGCGAAGGTCGTCACCTTTGAAGAGAATATACATGCGGTCGTCCACGGAGTACCAGTTGTGGCCCACGGGAATGGTCTTCTTCTGTTGGGCCCGCCGCACCCACCTCCCAGCCATTGCCCTAACGACGGAGAGATGCCAGAGGCTTGTCATGAATGACAAGTCCCAATGCCGGGGAACGAAAACCACCAGCGTCCAACTCCCCGGGAATAACTGTCCGAGTAGAGTGTTCAAACTTTGAAAAGCAGACGACGGCCACTGCGAGAGATCGACCGGTTCGCACAGGTCGAGAACGCAAGTGTAACTCTTCGTGGCCACGACCACCTTCTCGAGTTCAACCACCCGGCTCAAAGCCTCCAAGGGGTCGACGGCAAAAGGAGCTACCGAGGTCATTTCCCCCGTGTCTGTCCAGAGAATGTTGAGCATGCCCTCCGTGAGCGTCACCTCCTGTCGCTTCGCCCTGCTGCCGTTCAACACGGATACGACCTTGTTCCGCCACTCATGGGTCAACATTTCGTTGGCCGCCAGTTTTTCAGTGGCCTTGATGTTCTTGTCGTCGTCGCATCCCATGTACATAGGGCATTCCTTGAACAGCGACCCGTCCACCACGAGCTTCCTACTCCCGTCCCACAGCCCTGCATCCATTCCCATGGCCTCGAACTCCGTCAGAATTGGTTCCCTTTTTTTAAGGAAATGGAACCTCGCGTTCCATTCGCAGGCCAGTTTGTCCTCATGTTTGAACTTGTAAAGTTCCATAAGCGGACCAAAACCCGGTCACACTAAGCCAGTTGCACAGCCTCCGTAATGCCGAGCTTCCCTTGCTTGGCCAACGAGGAAGAACCCGACTTTCTTTCCGGAACTTGCGCTTTTTGCTTTTTCGCATTAGAAAGGAATTTAGGAATTTTGTAATTAGGACTTTCTTTAGCCGCGCAGCGCCTTTTGCTTACGCGCTTCTTTATGCGGCTGCAACGGAATTCTGATTAGTCGGCGCCTTTAATCAGGTGTGTAACTGTAATTTTGGGCTGGCGCCATTGTAACTATATCTTTCTTCTTGTGCTTCGTCTTTCCCGCCCTTCTTCTCTTTTTTTTGCTGTGTTTTTGGTAGCCGTGGTCCGCATGATCGGATCGATGCGTGGAGAGCAGCTACGTCCCCCACGCCGCGGCCTGGTCAAGCCTAACGTAGGCGCTTCCTGTCTAATCTTCTTTCTAAATCCTTGTAATTTTGTGTTCTTCGCGCATGCATACACGCTATAAATTCCGACTGCGTGATTAGTTAGCTCTCTTAACCAGCTGTTGGAAGCTTGGGGTTGCGCGATCAGAGAGGGTCGGCACACGAGCGAAGTAAGAGGTGAGTAGAGTAGGAGTCGGGCGACCCGGCGAGCTAGTGCCGAACGCGCGGGGTTGACGCGGGCCACGACGGACTGTGGGCGCGGGCGAACCCGACGGGTGCGGGAGGACTAAGCGGGGTGACGGCTTCGTGGGTTGGTGCGCGACGATGGATTGTCCGCATCGGAGAAGGAGAGAGAGGAAGAGGGAGTTGAGGTTGATGGACGTGGATTTGTTGTTTCTTTTATCTTTTCTCCCTCCTGTCTCGTGTACATAAATTTTGATTTCGGCTCCGGGTGATTTGCCCGTTTTCTGTTTTTCGGAATCCGGACTTGGGTTTTTGCTCACACTTGTCTTTGCGATTTCCATCTCAGATGCATTGTGTGTGTGCTGCTGAATGAATGTATGGATGTCATATTTGGTTATTTGATTTCCTATCGGATCCTTGCCTTTGTCTTTCTTTACTACATTTGATGCACTCATGAGTAGGATAGGAATTTTGCGCAATCGGTAATCCTGTTCTCGTTTTCGCTTATCGTTTGATTGAGCTGTTATGGTTATTGCATCTTGCATGCTCGGAAATTACGGAGTGATTAGGCAATCGGATGTCGGGCCTAGCGAACGTCGCGCGAGGACGCGTGTAAACGCGACCTGATCTGCGCATTTACACGTGCCCCCGTGTGTCAATTCGTCAATTCCAAAAAGAACCATCGGTTGCAGAAATACTGTCTGATTGGATACGGCCATCCGGGGTCTGCGACGGAGCGATCATCCTGGGCGAACACGAGTAAGCGCGACTCGATTCGCACAAGCCTGCACGTGCTCGCACGCGGTGATCCCCATCGGCACAGACCCGCCCTTAGGCATCTCGGGGCTCTGCGATGACATAATGACATCCTCAGAGAGCTCGGAGTCATTGTTGTATGAACCGGACTACTTTACCCCTTGGATAGATGAGATCCTCCAACAGAGATATCCTTGCCTAACCGAGAATCGACTGTGTTCTAGGGAGTTTCACTTCACCACCACTAGCGACCCCCGGTGCTCTGATTTCCCCACTTAGGACCACACCCACTACTTCACCCACCCCGGGTTTGTCGTTATCTCCACCAGCTTCCCTCCCTTCCTCCTTCTTCTTCCGTATCACCAACTCAGCGTCSTCCCATGGAAGGCCATATCCCCCTACTGGCCCAGTACACCTTGCGGAAATTGTCGACGACGCGGCAATCAGAGGATCCCGGAATTCCGAAGGCCTAACCCAAACGCACGACGACCGGCGCCACGTGGCAACTTCCGACGGCCTGACTCATCGGAACCCCACCCACCCCAGAGGGACCTTCCCGCAAACCGCCGTCCTCGGAACCAATGGCTCGCCCGACCTTGAATGACCCGCACATGCCATCTGCCTTATGACAAGAGGCAGTCCGCCCTCTTCACCAAATTACACTCGTGCCCCCGAAAAACTCTGCCACAGGAGATCTCAGTTCTGACCTGGGACTCCACCCCCACTTTCCCAAAAATCCTTGGCACACCCCTTTTCGCACTTCCAAGCCCACATCCTACTCCGATCAGGAAGTCGCGCTGGGCGTGAGGTTGGTATCGGAGCCCGACACGTGGCCGAGTTTTAGGATTAATAGCACGCTAATTGGGCGATCTGGCTAACTGAGGGCGACCTCGACCCCGGAACGCGCATAGACGCGACCCCGTCATCACCCGAAGTAGATCGGCTAATCGAGGGGCGGCCAACATAAACGCTAATGCGCAGAATCCGAATCCACAGCAGAATGTTAATCAACCAAATCCTAATCAACCCGCCCCACGAGCACAGGCTCCCATGACGCCACCTGATCTCTATCTATTTGACCCTGCACATCATCTTGCAGGGGCATGGTTGGCCACGCTTCGAGCACAACAGTATGACGATAACGAAGCTCAGGTAAACATTCCCGCTCGATTAGGAGGAGACGCTCATCATTGGTTTAGTACCTATGTACGGGTTGATCTTCTGACCTTCGAACGAGATTTTCTGAATCGATTTGATTATGTCCACCCAGAGCAAGCACTCTACATGATCAAAGACCGGGTGCAAAAACCTCTCGAGTCTATCGCAGAGTATCGAAATCGGTTCTACCGAGTGTTTGTGAAAACTGAGCGAGGTGAACAAGTCGGGAGAGATTTGTTTATTGATGGGCTTCGCAGTCGCTGCAACAAATCATGGCCGCTGCAGAGGAGATGGAACGAAAGTTCGCGGCGATCTTCCTGGAAGGAGAAGACTATTCTAAGGAAGGAGATTCGTCCGAGCTCGCAAGGGCAAGAGTTGATTGGCCTTGTTGCAGAACAAGTTCGATAATATGAGATTTGTGTCTGACCCAGTCACCTATCTGGAACAGATAGCCCCTAAACGAACCGCCCCGAGTGTAATCATAAGTGTCCCTGTTCCTGTGATACCAGCACCTGTAATGACGACACCCCCGCCAACGATTGAGAACCCTGTGAGGACAAATAAGTCCAATGCCATTTTTGAACTAACCAAGACGTTAATTAGTTTAATCGAGGAAAGCAAAAAGGAACAGCGAGAGCATAACGCTTGGTTAGAAGCCATGATGAGAAACATGCGGTCCATCACGGTGCGTGCCCCTCCGATCCAACAAGGGCTGGCCCCGGCGCCTACTCTCGGAGGAGCCGCAAGCAATCTCAACGTTTGTTATGCATGCCATCAGCCAGGGCATCTAGCCCGTGATTGCCCCCACCGTCCCCCGCAACAACGGGTCAGAGTTGCACCGATGGCAGCGGCTCCCATCGCTAACGGACCTGGACGGGTAGGAGCCCTGATGGAAGAAATGGAAGGTGTAGGAAGCGCGTTGGCAACCACGGAAGAGGTTGTTGAGCTCATCCCGTTAGATCAATACGTATCGCTGGGTTACCCTGGGCTTGGGATGATTGGAACGATTAGGCCGGCGCCGGAACAGAAAGAAGTGGCGGAGTGGCGACCTTCTCCAGGAGACATGGAGTCGGGAGGACCCACCTTCGTCACTGGGGAAATCGATGTGCTCAAAATCATCTGAGCCTTGGACCATCGATTTCCACTTCCGATTGGCCATCTGCTCTCGATCTCTGAAGAAGCTAATGAGCGAATGTTACAACTGTTACACTGTAAGGCGAATCGAAAACGATTCGCCCTCGCTCGAACAACGAACGTAAAGGCTAAAGACCCCATGCCAGATGAAAACGCGGATGGCACGTCGGATCCAATACGGGTAGGATTAATACAGAAAGAGGATCATTTCCTGCAGATTAAACCCATCCCGTGGAAATCTGCAGAATGTGACATCGAAATATGGGGAATTCTGTACAGTGCAATCATTGATTCGGGAGCGGCTATTTTGGCTATCTCACTGTGAGTAGTTGAAAGGGAAGGCAGGAAAAACGATTTGATCATGCTTACAGAGAAAGACCAGCTCGTTTCGGCAAACGAAGAAAAAATTAAAACAATGGGACGGATGACCAACGTCGCTTTCCGATTAGGAAAGGTGCATGCATTAGGCGATGTCGTGGTATTAGACGTAAACACTTACGATGTTTTTTTCAGCCTTCCCACTCTTGTGGCGTTGCAAGCAAACTTGGATTTCGAGCGACGGTCGATTATCCTCCGAAATACGGGAGGAAAGCCCTATGTCGTACCTATGAGATTGACCCTTCGCACTACCATCAACGTGGTCCCGCGAGTCTCTCCGATGATAGCAGGAACTCTCCGCATGGTCACCTGGGAAAACTCCGCAGACGATGAGCCATCATCAAGGGATGCGGACAACAGTGACAAAAATGATCCGGAAATTATGAAACTAGCACGACAGCGCATTTATTACCCGCCGACCGAAACGATCGCAAGAACGATGCATCTGACCAGTCGGAATATCCAAAGGATCAAGGCGATGATTTTGGGTGAGCCCCTCGTACAGATTTCGAGGATGGTCGATTCCTTGGAACCCCCTCAAACCCTGTACGAAGGAATCTCCCCTCTCCTCGCCTGATACAACGACAAAAAGCACTACTGCGATATCACAGATCTACCGAAGTCCCTACTGACAACTGCAAGAGAAGTACGACTGTTACGCCTGGGGGCGGAAGCCAGTTCTTTGGAACCCCCTGGGCATCTCGAGGCTGAATCAGAGAGCTCGGAGTCATTGTTGTACGACCCGGACTACTTTACCCCTTGGATAGATGAGATCCTCCGACAGAGATATCCTTGCCTAAGCGAGAATCGACTGTGTCCTAGGGAGTTTCACTGCACCACCACTAGCGACCCCCGATGCTCTGATTTCCCCACTCAGGACCACACCCACTACTTCACCCACCCCGGGTTTGTCGTTATCTCCACC